ATTCCAAGAGGAGGAAATCTAAGATTTAAAAGGTTGTATTGTTCTCTAGGGCCATTGGAACAAGGATTTTTGACTGTTTGCCAACTAGTCATTTGCATGGATGGTTGTTTCTTGAAAGGACCTTATCTAGGACAATTGCTCTTAGCTGTAGGGATTGATGCCAATAGTGGGATGTACCTAATTGCATATGTAGTGGTTGAGAAGGAGAACATAGACTCATGGACTTGGTTTATTGAATTACTTTGTCATGACATTGGTGGTTCAAATCAACTTTATTGGACAGTAATATCTAATCAGCAAAAGGTATAAAATTTTATGAAATTTGTTTCAATGTTGGTGCTAATTGTAACTTTGTGTTTCAAGTAATAACTCTATTGCAATTGCAAGGGTTGGTCCTAATAATTCAAAAAATTCTCCGAAATTCCACTTCGACAACTACCACTCGCATGGGTGCTTCTCTCTAAGGCAAAATGCTCCCCTACCAACACCACCAAGTCAATTTCAGCAAAGAATTCAAGGGAAAGGCTTTTCGCGACATGTTTTGGAAGTGTGCTAGAGCAACCACTATGGAGTATTTTAATATATGTATGGTAGACTTGAGGAAGATAGATGAAAAAACATTTCAATGGTTAGATGCAGGTGTGTCTCCAGATCATTGGAGTATGACGCACTTCCAAACCACACCTACATGTGATATTTTGATTAATAACCACTATGAGGTATTCAATGCCGTCATCAAAGAAGCAAGGGAAAAACCTATCATTAAATTGATGGAGATAATTAGGATTTTGATGATGAGGAGGATCAAAAATTATAGGGATGCCATGAGAAGAGTGTTTGGTCCATTGTGCCCTCGGATTCAGAAGAAGATGGATAAGATTTCAACTGATGCAATGGGCTTCATTTGTGAGTGGTCAGATGGACCAAAATTTGAAGTGCAAGGACCACGTGTTCAGTATGTTGTGGATTTGAGAGATAGAACATGCACATGTAGGAAATGGCAATGTGTGGAATTCCATGCTCTCATGCAGTCTCAGTTGTATTGCATCAGGGAGACAAACCAGAAAATTATGTTCATGAATGATACACCAAGGATACATTTATGAAAACATTATCCTTACTATAAATGGACAAGATTTATGACCACACTTTGGGAAGAGAGGACTAGTTCCACCTATTAGGACTGTTTATCCTGAAAGACCTAAGAAGCAAAGAAGAAAAGAATCTTGGAAAAGCAGGAAAGAAGGAAAACTGGGGAAGAATAGGACACAAATGAATTAAACTCTATGTGGAAATATTGGTCACAATCGTAGGATTTGCAAGGGTAGGGAAACAAGGGGACATGAGGCTCACAATCAAGTCAGTAACCTACTGCAAATGTAGGCTCACAAGCAACTTAGCAGCCTACTGCATCCTACAACAACTGTGGGATCACAAGTAGGATTACAAGCAACACGGCTGCCAACTACAACTTAGCATCCTACTGCAACTATAGGCTTACAAGCAGGTTAGCTGCTAACTGCAAGTCATTATCCTATTGCCAGCCGGAGAGGAAGGCCCAAACTGAAGGTTAAGAGGAAGGAAGTTTATACAAACCCACCTTCTAAGTGACTTGTGTTATGTTTAGAAACTTTTAGGTTATATGCGGTGGATAACTTTTGGGTTGTGTGTGTTGGATAACTTTTGGTTCCAGAATTTGGACAACTTTTGGTTATGTATGTTTGGAGAACACTTTGATACTATCCAACTTTTGTGGTTCTTGGCTATGAATGCTCATTTTGTTGTGTTCTTGAATGGCAAAGTAAATTTTTGGTTCTAGATTTTTTTTAGCAGTATCATCAAAGTATTACAAAATGTTTGGATATAAGCACCACATGATCACATAATCATAGGATATAACATAAAATAATCACAGCTAAAGCATAATAACAGTTTCATTTCATAAAAATATTTTGCATTAGGATCACATGAATGGTACAAAATAACCATCAGTTGTGTCATTACAAAATTTCCCAATTGACCCTCATTTAACATTACAAATCTTCACCCATTCACCACCCCATTAAAATTAAATTACAAAGTTTCACCCTGGCACATGACAATTACATTTTTTGTCTTCTCCCACCTCATTAACCTCAATATTTCCTTTCCAAAGTATCCAAACTATGAGATAACAAACAACTAGTCCCAACCATAACATGTTCTCTCCTAGTGAACCTTCTTTCTTCATCCTCTACTCTATTCAATTGTCTGAATAGTCTCAAAATCACTTGGCGTGATCGCACACACATTGGTGGATCTTGCCAACTAAAAAACCCACATCTGGAATTTTGAAACAAAACATAACATAACAAAATAAACAACTACACAGTTGTGAGAATCTTGACTAAAAGAAAGCGTTTTACTGTCAACTTGTTACAAAACCTTACCATTCCATTTGGACATGTCAAGAACCTCCTTCTAGGATTTTGATAGGTCCAAGAATTCTTACTCATCACCTTTTCTCTACAAGCATAAATCATTTCCATGGATCTTTCACTTTCTCTATCCTTTCCCCCTCCCAACAATCTCTCTTTACTACATTCATAGGGCACTATTTTTTGCAGCATAGTGTTCTTTTTCCAGCTGAAGGTAATGGAGGAAAAACACTTACATATATCACATGAATCTCACATGATGCAATGGAGGGAAATTTGGAGCCAAAGGCTAGTCATTTCCAATCCATGCCCCTGAAGAAGGCACATAGCCAGCACACTCTACACCCTTCCATTACAAACCCTAATAGAAGGGCTTGATTGAAACTATTATATAGTTTAGGGGCTTGATTGTCTCAAAAAAGAGTTCAGGGGCCTAATTCATACAAAGGTCATAGTTTGAGGGCTAAATACATAATTTACTCTTTTTTTTTAACGTAAATTTTGTCCACTGCCCGTATAGATAAGTCTAACTTGAACTACATACCTTGCCTTATTTAAATTTCACTACGTTCCCTTTTAGTTTGTATTTTTACTTCACGTACACTCTTACCGTAATCAACTATTACTGATAATCTAAAAAGTACTGATGGCATACCACTATTTTATTTAAATGCCAATTTTACTCTTAATTTTTTCGAATGAAATCCTTGATTCCTCCTCCTCCTTCTCATCCTTCTCTCTCTCTACAACACCTAACCTCCTAGCTATAAAATCACCATGGCAATGAACCAAAGCGTTGGTCTTCCCCATGAAACTCTTGATCTCAAACAGGGTTCTTTCATTATGAAACATTCAAATCTTTGATTTCGTATACTCTAATTCAAACTTGAACGTGTCAGAAAATGTCAACAAAAAAATACCAGCACCATAACCCTTAAACTCACCCAAGTTCACAAATCACCACCCATCATAAACCCACTGTCAAATCTCATGAATCCTTAAACAATTTTGGATCTAATGCTAATTAAGACCATAAATCAAAATCCACGTCATCCATTAAATGAGTTATATCACCCATTAAAATCCAATTCTACCCAATCTCCATTCATCCATCAAAAAATGCAAAATTAATCACGCTACATGAATTGGATTAGATGGGTGGTGGTAATGGTGGGCACATGCAGCGGTGATGGGTGCACATAGTGGCGGTGATGGGTTGAAAAATTCATTTTGTGTCCCCTTTTTCTCTTTCTGGTTTGCTACCTTAGCTTTGGGTGGGGTAGGGGTATACTTTTCTCTCCTCCATTACTTGTATACATACATATATGCAATTAGTGGTAGTGGTGAAGGCATGTGATTGTGATTAATTGGGAATGGGGCTGTTGATGGAAGGGATGTGGATCATTAGTGGGGGTAATCAGGTGCAAGGTTAAAATTGGTGGTGGAGATCAATAATGGTAGGAAAGAGGTGGAAGTGGCTAGGGTTATGGCAAAGAAAGTGGGATCAGGTAGTGAGGGAGAAATGGGTTGGGGGTTCTCTCTCTCTCTCTCTCTCCACATTATCAATACATGTTTATGTTTATGTATATGCATATGTTTGTTTATATAGAGCTTAAATATAATTAGGATTATTTGCACCAATGGTCCCTAAGGTTTGCTAAGAATTGAATTTTTGTCCATAATCTTCTAATTTCATAAATTTGGTCATTAAGCAGATATGGTCCCTATCACTAACTTTTGTCCAAGTAGATGACTAAAAAATGCAAGTGCACAACATGAGATGGATATAAAGGGACACTGGGTAATTTCCACCTCCTTTCCTACCTGTTCAACCCACCAACTTCCCGTGAGATCCATGTGTTCATAATCTAAGCCCTTGATTCAAGATTGAAGTTGATAAGGAAGGGAAAAAGTTAGTGTTGTGGATTTTAGATTAGTGGAGACAATCTTCAGTGGTAGATTGCGATGCTTAAAGGTTAACAAAAGTTACTTCCATTTTGTTGGCGAAGATTATATTCCAGAATACAGTATGGCCTTAATTCAAACTTATATTTTGTTCTTGTGTTTCAAAACACATGCATACTTATATAGTGTTGTCCAGTGTGGCATATATGCTTGAATATCAACGTAAAGGTTTAACTATTCATTTTAGTGGTGTCTAGCGTTCCCTAGCCCATGATATTTTAAATATTCATGTAGTGGTTGTTGATACAATATTTTAAAGTTTATTTTTAAGCAACATGTTGTAATAATCCCAAATTATTTTATTTTATTTTTTTTTGTAGATGAGAATTTGAAATATTTTACTCTAATCATGTAGCATAATGGGAGTTTTAAAGCAATCCAGAGATGGTTTATAATGGGTTCAAGGTAAATTACTTTGACCACAAACATCTTGACTATATGTCTTTGCTAGAACTTGACGATATGACTAGACAGTTGGGATATAAGGGGGAAATTCTGAGGTATCATTGTTGTATACCTAGTAAGGACTTGAATAGTGAGTTAATATGTCTGTATAATGACAAACAAGTGTTCACAATGTTTAGTATTATTGAAGTCTATATAGAACATAAAACACATATGGATGTTCTTGATGGCCAAGACTTCTCAGATGATGTAGATGGTAGGAAGGGACATTCAGTTGTTATTGAAGAGATCAACACTGATGAAGTGAATAGGTTAGTACAAAGCTAGGTGACTAATGCCTAGAGGATAGGATACAATGTTAGTAATACACCAAAGTTACTAAAGTACCCTGAAGTCAATGCAAGTGGGTTTGCTTAAGAAATTAATAACAATGTGGAATGTAGAGTTGTTGAGGGAGCAAAAAGCAATGGACTCAGAGCAACTAGATGTAATGAGGGAGGTGACAGTCGTAGAATCAAAACAACTAGGTGCAATGTTGTTGATAATCCATCAACCTACGAAAATACCCATGAACGCCGGATAACCTGACGTCATGTCACAACATCCCCTTTACCAGGATCACAGACCCCACAGAGTTTGGACTGAGTCTCCCTAGTACCGGACACTCCTAAATGCATAACTTGTATATCATTCAATCACATGACCCTTACAAGTCCAATATTCCTCAATTCATACTCAATTGTTATCCATTTACATCATTTGAACAAAAGGACTCAAGGGCCAGAAACATGTTATCATAAGCACTCTTAAAATTTGAAATTTTGGGAAAACCTACTAGTATAAGATGTCCATGTTCTACCGGTAGGTCTTCCCAGTTTTTTTTCAATTCCATCCTTTTTCAATTCCAATTTATTCCAACCTTATACACCATCAATCCAAACTCATACATGCAATTTTACATAAAACATAGTCCATATGAGTTCGATTATAATCATTTGCATACATTACATGCCCAAAAACTAAATAACACATTAGCTTTATGAAAACATAATTTAAAAGCCACATCTTGACTTTTCTTCAACAATGAGGGCCCGAGTAAGAGTCGTCCACCGGTGCATGTCCCGCACCTGAAATGTTTTCCCTATAAAGGTTGAGCCAAACTTAATACAGTATCTTCTAAAGAGGCTACTCCCCAACCTAGATGCATATGAAATGTTTACATGCAATTCAAAAGCAACAATCACTCCAGTCAAGAATATACAATTCAACAATGGAATCCTCTATGTCATGTCATGATATGAGATAAAACTCACACATGTAACTCAACTCGAGCCCTTCGAGCCCTTACCAACTCCTATAACACATGCAATGTCATGATCTTGAAACCGGGCATTCCAAACCCTCGCCACTGATGTTGCACATCCAATGAAATTTTAAAAATAAACAATGTGTCTTTATTGGGTATTCAGATTTTGGAATCTCACCGCTGGTTCCACACACTATTACACTTTTTTGGACTTGCACTGTCGAAAGTGTATAAACCAGTAACTGGGTCATGCACCTGAGGGAGAATCTAACCCTTCTTGCTATATCCAACACAAATTTTTCATGCAACTGTGCGACTCTGTTGAACCTTGGTACAACTATTCCAAGTCAACTTATCAACCACCAAGAATGGTGTTTGACCCAACAACATGTACACACACCCATACTCATGTCAATGCCCACGAATGTGATGTTTCCCTTTCAATATGCAAATGTAATGAACCATTGTATTTTATATACTTCTGCAACAAGATTTCAATTGCAATTATAATACCATGTTCAATGTGCCATAAGAAAAATATGAACAACATTCCTTCAACATTTTCAAGTCCTCATTGTCAATATATCATAATGCATATAGCTACATTTCTCAACATCAATCCCAAGCATGTTATAACATAATCAATGAAAATAATACACTTAATTCACATAGGCATTTCATCAACACCCACACATATCATTTAAGGCATTTTATCATGTAACACATAATATGCCTAAATTACCACATTTCTCAGGAAATTATAACAAGTAATTTCTATGTACCCAATTCATACTATAACTGATTATAGCCATTATTAATACCCATTTCCCACATTTCAATACCATAGGTAAGTGTTATACATGAGATTACGTCTCTAACACCTTACCCATTTCATATATCAATCCTAGGTTGGAAATAAACCTAGTTAAAAAATGAACCCTACCTCTTGAAGCGTAAAATAATGGTACAAAGCCTTCAAGAACTCAAATCAAGCCTTAGCTCTTGATTTTCCTTAATCCCATTTTTGAAACTTTAGTGAAACTTGCGATTTTTGGTATATAGTCGTAGCCCTTGTTGCGTAGATTAACTTTGATGCTTGGCCTGAAGAATTCCGACCAACGGAGAGCCGTAGATCATAAAGAAAAGTTATAGAACTCTCTCTTTTCCCTCTCCAACGAAAACCCAGCTGAAAAATGAGGAGAAAGTCAGATTTTCCCCCATATTTATACTCCTATGATGCTTGGCCCACATTGCGCCACACGTCCTATTTTTTGGGGTCCAATTTCATCCCGAAACAATTAAATTTCGTTCCGATTTAAGTTCAAAATATTTTCATTTGAAATATCTTTAAATTATTTTTCAAAATTTGAAATTTAATTCCCGGTCTCGTTTATTTAGGTCACATGACACCCGATCACATCGTAAAACGCAAAAAATTAGTATGTCCCAGAATTTAACAAAAAATTTACTGGGTAACTAGATTTCGTGAAAAGAATCCAACGGTGAGGTCCATTTTTTCATCCAAGTTCTAAAAAATTTTGGGTTTTCAACCTGTATCATAGTGATAAATTACCGTTTTGCCCTTTTTCACAAAAATTCAAAGTTTTTCGGGTTTTACACAATGAGGGAGGTAACAGTCATGAAATCAATGTAGCTAGGTTTGATGAAGGAGAAGACAACCAGAGACTTACAAACCTAGACAAAGAAAATGAAACAAACCTGTATAATAAAACAAAATTGGACAGTGTTGTTGACACTACTACACAAAGTGGTCGTGACTTTCTTAGAAGTAGAAAAAATATCAAGAGCAAGGGGCAAGTGAAGTGATAGGGCCATGAACATGGATAGTGATAGGGACAATGATAGTTCTGATTATTCAATGTTATATGATATAGAATATAACTTGGATGAGGTGACATATTATATGACGCCTATGTAGATGATGATGCTAAATGGAATGGTGTGACTAGTAAAGAAAAAGGTGTTGAACAAAGTAACTTTGGAATTCAACATGGTGCAAATAATGATGATGTGCAATTTGAACATGCAGATTCAAATGAGCTATTGAGTTTATATGGTTTATCCTTGGAGGATGAGGATAATAGTAGGAGAAAGCCAAGGTTTCCTGAGTTCAGGGCTAAGACTGACATGAAAGAATGTACATGTCTTGATGCATTGAAAAAGGGTTTTAGAGAGGCATGCAAGCCTTTGGTATGTTCGGATGCAAGCCTTTGACCATAGAATGTGTTGAGATTTACGATGAACTCCACGAAATTAGCCAATTACAAACATATATCTAACATTATCCATTTTGCACTAACATCCTTTTGGTAATGAAAATGTTATGTTTTTGTAAATGGGAGTAGTGTCATGCTTTTGCCATTATAGCATTGTTATGGACTTTTGAATAAAAAAATGCATAGTAAAATTGCAGGGGTGATATGAAGCAGATACCAACCACAACATTGCATCATTTCCAACCACAACATTGATCCCAACCATAACATTTTACAATAAAATTGATGTCCATTGCCTTAAGATACATAATATGCTAATTATTAAAATACCAAAATACTAAATAAAAAATCAAAATAGCCCTAATTTTATAAGAAACCTTGCTTCATATCACCTCTGCTCCTTCAATATGTCTTTTGACTAGCTTCATTTTATAAAGACCCAAACCCATGTTAGTGCTAGCAACATCTATACAACCTTCTCTTGGCCTTGACATTTAGCCACTTGCCCTTCTATCGTTGTGATTATATTGAGTAAGCTAGGGATGAAATTCTTCGAACATCGTACCACTGAATATACCAAATTGTGCAAATGTTAATCCTGATATATTCATTCACTGATAATGGAAGTATTTCATGAAACTTACCTCATCCTTCTCCTATATAAGGAATCTTCTACTTGGATTTAGATCTATCCAAGAAATTAGAATTCGAGTCCTTCTCCATAGTTGCCATATGCTTGAGACATGGGGTGTGCAAAAGCAATCATTCTTTTCTCTATCTCCATTATTCATCATCTTTGGGATCCCTCGACTGCCTTCTATTTTGCTCAATTAGAAGTTAGGGTTGTTGTTTATGGTTTCTTAGAAGTCAGGGTTCTTAAGGAATGAAGCTGGTGGGTTGAATGACAGGGAAAGGAGGGGGAAATTACCTAAGTGCCCTTTCGTATCCATCACCTGTTGTGCACATGCATTTTTCTGTCATCTATTTGGACCGAAGTTTATGGTAGGGACCACATATGCTTAATGTGTAACAGTGAAGGACCAAATTGACAAAATTAGAAGATTAGAGGTGAAATTTTAATTTTTAGCTAACCCATAAAAATACTATGCTAATCTTTATAAAGTTTATGGGTAAAATGGTAAACCATGTGTTTCCATCAAGTTTGTTAGCAGACAAATACTGGCAGGAGGTGTCAGTAGAATTTCAAAAAAGGCAGGAGGTGTCGTTAAAGTTAAACCTATCTACTGGGGGTTTGAATGAAATTTACGTGTTTTCTTTTAGTGCATTACATTCAGATCTCGTGATATTTACAACTCAATCAAACAGACCCCTTCATGGTGGGCAAATACTATGGAGACCTCTTGAAGTGTGGACAAGTGTAACATGAAATTTTTTTCGACTGTAGTCCATTTGACATATAATTAGAATTTGGTGGAATCTTTGTAGATAACTCACATATTACTCTTATCATTAACTCAAATAAAATTCCATAAAAAGCTAACAATTTTTAAATTTTAATTTAAACATCAAATATAACAACTTTCTTTCAACAATATTATTGCTCCCATCACTAAACTTGCCCCCCACACTCCTTCCCCAACCCACCCACATCTACCCTTCCCCCCACTAGCTTTAAATGACACCCCCACCCAACCTAACCTACGCCAGAACCCCTATAATTGAATGCCCACTCCCATCATCCCCCATCTAAAAATAGCACCAACTAATTTCCTGCCCCAAGCCACCCTATTTCTCTTTCCCTATTTCCCCATAAACAAATCACACATAGACACCAAAAGTGAACCATCTCCACCATTACTACAATGGTTGAGTTCACATAGCTCATTCCCACCACGAGCTGACAAGTTTTCTCCCTCCACTACCAAAACCCCAACCCATTTGATCTATCACAAACTGAACCAAAAATGGAACACCAAATTAACCATCCCAATCAACTAATCATCAATAACAAGAAACCACAAACCATAACAAATTCACAATCATAGTAAACAATGCCATCAATTCAAAATCAAAAATTGAATTTTGTCAAAATCAGTAAACGGTTGAGCCAATAAGGACTATCTTCATCACCACTTGGCCATATGAGCTCTCTCTCATGAAAACTTTAATGCTTGTGGTAGGTTTCCTATTATTATGTTGTTATGGGAGGGGGAACCCAGTGTGGATCTTCCTTCATGATTATCCACATCGAGCTATAGACCTTTTACCTAGCAAGTGAATAGGTTTTTCAATTTTAGTCTAATTGATTAGCAATGAAAAACTAAACAACCACAAAGACCTCTTCCTACAAAGAAATAACAATTAATGTGAGAATCCCTTTAGTCATCACAAAACATTTCACTCAAGACGATTGATTTTAATTAATCTTCAATTAATTCGCTCACAATTAATCTCACGTCGATCCCAAATCCCAAATTTCATATGGGTAAATAGTCAAACAATTATTTCAACAAGCACATAATGTGTGTGTGTGCCCTAACAATCATAAGTGTATATGATAAATAATAAATAACACAAGTGATTTGTTGATATGGAAAACCCTCCTCGAGAAAAATCACAGAAAATCACTTGGGGTTTATCAAAACCTAATCTATTACTCACTAAGTCAACATATAAGTGTTCTAGACTTATACCTCAACCAATACCATGTCTAGATGCTTATTTTCTTGTTGTCTCTCTGCCAAACTCCCTTCTTTGACGTCTGGTGTAGTTTCACTTGGACTTCCCCGCCATAGGGTTCGTGTAGGCCTCGAGCAATCATGGGCATGCTAATGATTTTTGGTTTGCACACACTAATGGGTTTAGTTCTGAACAATCAAAGATCTTCAACGCCAAGTTATGAGCTTGGGTAGGATCACTAGTGGTCGCCTTTAGGTTTGGGGATCCAGGTTAGTGGTGGAAGCTCTCAAGGTAGAAAATGTATTTTCTCTATTAGAAGTCTCACAAGAGGCTTAACCTAGCAATGGGAAAGGCTCTCCCTATTTATAGGTCCGAAATAAGAGTAGTCTTAGTAAAAAAAAAACTCATATTTGGAAAGGACCTCTCGTTCGGTGGAAGGGTGGTCATTGGGAAGTTGAGACTAGAATGAAAATCACGTTTCAAACCTTTCTAAGAATATACACTGCTTAAGCGACCATGAGAACCTCTCGAGCGACCATGAAGGACCACTCGAGTGAGCTCTGTGTACTCCTCTACAGCCTTTTCCCATCTTATTCTCTAAGTCATAAAGAAATCGCTCTAGAGAAGGCTAGTGAGCACAGATCGGTCCCTACTAGTATTTAAAGCATAAAACCAAGAAAAAAAAGGTTGTCTTCTTGAGTACTAAGGGTGTTTCTCAAGAGGGGTCCAATAATGGCTTAATCTATGTTTTCAAAACACAAAATGGTTTAGAAATTTTTTTTTCAAAACACCTAAGAGCTATACTTGGATTGCTTTCAATTCAATTTTCATCATAATCACCCAAAGTTAAAAATAACTAAGGGTTCATCTTAAGGGTCTAGATCATTACCTTTGTCCTAAGCATGAAGGTGAATACAGAGTTTGAATGATGTTGCTTTGACACTTGATCTCTCCCTCCAATTATGCTTTTAGATCTTCAACTTGATAGCACCATGACTATGAAAAAGGTTGAGATTTACAATAGAATCTACGAAATTAGCTAATTACAAAAATGTGATCTAACATCTTAGGTTTATGGGAAATAATATGTGGAATGGATCGTCCGTCATGATTATACACGTGGGATTAAGCCCAAACATAAACCAATTTTAACCTATGTCTATCCTAATTACCTCTTCACAAATTAATTAAGCAATTAAGTGTAAGAACTCCTTTTAAGCAAGAACAACTGTACCTACCATGTAGATTTATGTTATGTGTTTTTTGATTTCACGATTAACACTTAATGTCATATGGTGATCCCAACCGAACCATTATAACTGATATAACGGCTTAAACAATCAAATTATTAAACACATAGTGCTCGTGTTTGGATCAATTGCAAGTGTATATGAAAATAAATAATATGAACACAAGTAATTTATTGACGAGAAAAACCCCCTTGGAGAAAATTGCGAGGAATCACTCGGGGTTCACCAAATCCTAATCTACTTTCCCAAAATCAGTTTTCAAGTACTCGAGTTTTATACCTCAACTAATACCATGGTTAAAATGCTCATTTCCTTCACCAAACCCCTTTTTCAAAACTCCCTCTTTCAACGTTTGGATAGCTTCACTTGAACTCACCACCACTTGGATAGTTTAGACTTCAAGCAATCTTAGAATGCATCTAAGAATCTTGGTATGTGCACTTCTTCCAATGGGTTTAGTTGATCTCTAATCTAAATCTTCTTCTCCAAGGTATGAGGTTGAATTAGAGTATCAAGATGGATTTTTCACTTTTGGATTTAGGGATCTAGTGTTCTTCACAAGCTCTCAAGATGTCTAAGAGGTAGAATTTACTCACAAGAGCCTTACCCTAGCATAGGAATACTTACCTCTATTTATAGGCTCATATTCGGGTTTGTCTTGGAGACCAAGTAAACCAAATATTACAAATCACCACTCGAGCAGTGAGAGGGCAACTAAGGGCTACTTGAATTAAAACGATTCAAACTGTAGCAGAAGAGCAGTGACCACTCGAGCAACCTCGGGACCATGCAAGCCATCTCAAGACTGCTCGAGCGGCCTAAGAGCAACCTAGAGGACGGTCTCTACTGCCTACTCATTCAGCATTTCCCAATGTTATCCCTAAGTGTTCAAAAACAGCTCTAGCCGAAGATAAGCGAGCACTAAAGGATGTTATCCCTAATTGTTCAAAAACCACTTGAGCAGAGGGCAGACCCCAATAGTTTTTAAGCTATAAATCAAACAAAAATTTAACATATTGAGTACTAAAGGATGTTACTCAAATAGTGTCTGATTAATAACTCAATCTTATATTTTTAACACACAATAAACATTTAGAAAAACTTTTTT